TTTGTGGGATTTTTTTTTCTGTGGTTATTTTGTTTGGTTTGGAAGGGGCAGGTTTTGTTTATTCTGGGTTGGACTTTTTGTGGGGCTGGTTCCCCTGCTGGCAGCTGATTGTTATTTTTGGTGTATGGTCTTTAAAACTCTGTGAAAATGACTGGATTTAACCATTAAATCCCATGCATCCCTCAGGGAAAATCAATTTGTTGGATTCGAGGACTTTGTATCCTTAAATCCTTAACAGGACAAGAGGGAACAGCCTCAGGCTGGGCCAGGGGAGGCTCAGGGTGGATATTGGGGAAATTTCTGCCTGAAAGATTGTCCAGCCCTGGCACAGCTGCCAGGGCAGTGTTAGTGTCCCTGTGCCTGGAGGGGTTTAACAGCCCTGCAGATGTGGCACCTGGGGACATGGGTTAGTGGTGGCCTTGGCAGTGCTGGGAATGGTTGATGATCCTGGAGGAGTTTTCCAACCCCACTATTTGTAGGATTCTCACCAAAGAGGAGCTGTGGCAGCCCCAAAGCTCTGGGGTCTCTCTCACTCCCCCTGTGCTCCCCAGGAATCCTGGAGTGCAGCACAGCTCCAAGGAGAAGAGTTCTCCATCAGGAATGGACCCTGTGCTCCCAGCCCTGGAGGGATGGGCTCTGCAGGAGCCACCACAGCCTTCCCTTCCTTTCCCTCCTCTTCTGCTCCACTCTCTCCTGTGCTGTTCAGTCCTTCCCTGAAAATCCTCTGGATGCTGGTGCTGCAGGACTGGAGTGAGTGGCTCAGGAGGAGCCTCCTTGTGCCAGAGTGGTTGGCTCTGAAGGAAATGCATTATCCTTGGTAGGACAAACTAATTGGTTTTAGCTGCCTTCCATTCCTCAGCATTCCCTGTGTCACATCCCAGCCTCTCTCCCATATTTTATCCTGTTGGATACAGCTGGAATTATTTCTCAGCAGTGCTCATGTCTGGGGCAATGTAGTGCATGGTCCTCCTGGACTGTCCTCACTCTGTGTTCATGTTCCCATCCCCCCAAACTGCTTCTGCAATTGTGTTGGTAAGAAAAGAAATCTGGAGCGTGGCTCTTCTCCTTCAGGAATGTTGCTGGATTTTGGGGGCAGGAGCTGCCCCTGCTGCAGTGAGTGCAGCTGCCAGAGAGAAGTGATAGAATTGTCCTGGTCAGGGCCATTCCTGGGAGTTCAGGGGCAAAGGGAGGGCTCAGCCAGGCTCTGGAGATGCTTCCAGGAAACCTGGCTCTCCATTTAATCCCAGTTTCTGATTGGAAATATGAATATATTCCAGCTTGGATGTATGGCTATATCCCAGTTAGGATATATGGAGCTATCCTGGTTTGGATATATGGATCTCTCCCAGTCTGGATGTATGGATCTCTCTATGGATAATGGATCTCTCCCAGTTTGGCTCGGGGCTCTGTGAGGTCCCAGGCCAGCCCTGCCCCTGGCAGTGCCTCTGTCCCTTGGCACCCCTGTCCTGGGACTGTTCCAGCTCTGCTGCTGTGCTGGGGGGCCTGGGGGACAAGGAGCTGTCACTGGGTCAGCAGAGAGCCCTAGGGCCCAATGGTGTCCTGGGGTTAATGAATGGTTAATTAATTAATTGTCCTGACCCAGCAGGTCAGGGAGGGATCCCAGCCCTGGGGGCACCTCTGGAGTGCTGTGTCCAGCTCTGGATCCTCAGCACAGCAGGGGACAGGGAGCTCCTGGAGCGGGGCCAGCACAGGCTGTGAGGATGAGGAGGGCCTGGAGCATCTCGGTGCCCAGGAAAGGCTGAGGGAGCTGGGGCTGTTCAGGCTGGAGAGGAGCCCCAGCTGAGAGGGACCCTCAGCCCTGGGTGTCCCTGTGTGCAGGGAGGGCCAGAGCAGGGCCCAGGCTCTGCTCCAGGGCCCAGCAGTGGCACCAGAGGAACGGGCAGGGACTGAGCCCAGCAATTGCCCCTGCACAGGAGGCAGAACTTCTGCCCTGGGCAGTGCCCAACCTGAACAGGCTGCCCAGGGAGGGGCTGGAGTGTCCCTCAGCGGGGATATTCCAGAGCCACATGGACACAATCCTGTGCCCTGTGCTCTGGGATGGCCCTGCCTGAGCAGGGAGGTGCCACCAGTGACCCTCTGTGCCCCCTTCCAGCCTGACCCAGCCTGGGATTTAAAGTTTCCGCTCATTCCTGTGCCTCCTGTATCCCATCATTAATGCCTGCCTGGATGCTCCTTGCCCTGGAGGATGTGCAGAATTCCATCAGGGTTTTCCTTGCTGTACATCCATGCCACATCCGTGGGGAGCAGTGGGTGGAGGAACCCTGGCGACCAGAGCTAAGGGGCTCCAGGAGCTCCAGGGGAAGGCTCCTGAGTCACCCCAGTCTGAGCAGAGCCCTCAGGGAGGGAAAGTTTCCCGTTCCAGGCAGCCCAGCCCAGCCCAGGGCCAGCTGAAGGAGCTGTGACACTCGGTGATTCCAGCTTAGAGAAGAACCAGGGAGGGGCCTCAGCCATTTCTCTAGTGATGTGTTTGTCACCTTGAAGGGGTCCAGAGGCAGTGAACAATTCCCTAAAACCTGCCTACATAAGGCTGGCATCCCAGGTATGTTTAGGGTTGGCTCACCTGTTATATGGATGCTGTGAAAGTGCTTTGAGCCTTAAATCTTTTGTCACTTATGGAACAATCCCATTCTTAAATCCTATTGGAAATCTCATGGGCAGTTGGGGCTGTTTTTCCCCACTCTGGGTTTGGGGTTTATTCCTCAGCAGGAGCCATTTCTCCCCTTGACACACCTGCCCCTCTGGTGTTGTGGTTCATGGCTGTGCTGTCACTGCACTAAAAATGGTAATTATTGATTGATCTATTGATCTGCTTTGGAATTGATCCCAAGTTGGTTGTTCTGGTGGGAATGGGGTCACAGGATCATGGATTGGGTTGGGTGGGAAGGGACCTCAAAGCCCATCCATTCCACCCCTCCATGGGCAGGGACCCTTCCACTGTCCCAGGCTGCTCCAAGCCCCAATGCCACAGCCACAGCTGCTCTGAGAATTCCATCCCAGCCCTTCCCCACCCTCACAGGGAGAATTCCTTCCCAATATCCCATCCAGCCCTCTGGCAGTGGGAAATCATTCCCCCTTGTGCCTTAAAGGCTTTGCTGGATCCTCTGGTTTGGGGTTTGCCCTTTAATTTGCTGAGTGTTCATGGACCAAACCTGGAAGGAGCAGAGTTTGATGTGAGGTGTGTCATTGTCACCTCCCACCTCCCCACCTCTGGACGGGAGCTCAGCTCTGCAGAGCCCAGATCCTCTTTGGGATCAGGATTTTTACTTCACAGGTGACACAATGTCTCCTCTGCCATTGCTTTCGTGGTGGCCTCACACACGTCCCCACCTTGGCACGAGAAAAATGAGCCTTGGGCACCTTGATTAATGCCAGGACTGGTTCCCAGTGCTGTGACTCTGCAGTGTCCCCTCCTGGCTCTGGCTCCAGCAGGAGCTGTAATTCCACGGGCAGGGATGGAGGAGCATCAGCCATGGCTGATTGCAGAATTTCAGGGTGTCAGCAGTTTTCCCAACCAAAAAGGCTTTTAGCTCCTGGGCACAAAGTCAAGTGCCATTTGAAATGCACAGCCATCAAGTTTGGGGGGAAAAAAAATCCACAATAACCAAGGAGCCGGTCTGTTTTTGCTCTTTTTTTGGATGAAATGCGTAATAAGCTCTTAGCTGAGATAAATCCTAATTGAGGCTTCAGCCAAGGCTGGGCTAAATGAGCAGAGCAGGTCTGGGAGACAAATGCAGCTCCAGCTTGTCAAAGTGAGCCATTCTTCACATGGAAAGAGGATTTGTGTCATTAAAGCTCTTCATCTCCTCCCCCGTTCCCAAACGCAGCCCTCCTGCCCCTGTCCAGAGTCACCCAAATCCATCCCAATCCCTTGGCACGTGGCTCTGCTGCTGCTCCTGGCCCATTGTCCCACACTGAGCTGCCCTGGAGTCACAGTCCCACGCTCAGGGTTGGGGTGACCTTGGCAAGGTCTCTCCTTGAGGGGCACCTGGGCATGGCCCCAAAGCCACACCTGTCCTCCAAGGCTCTGCCAGCTCCCCACACCACGGGAGTTCCCATGGGAGTGTTAAGGGCAAGGGGAGAAAGTCGAGGAAGGCTTTGGGAGGCATTTTAGGAGCCTCCATCCTGGAAAGTGAGGCTGAAGTGGGGAATTTGAAGGCTCCAGCAAAGCATCCAACAGTGCAGCCCTCATGGAGATACCACAGGATCCTGGGATGGTTTGGGAGGGACCTTAAAGCCCATCCAGTGCCACCCCTGCCATGGCAGGGACACCTTCCACTGTCCCAGGCTGCTCCAAGCCCCAATGTCCAGCCTGGCCTTGGGCACTTCCAGGGATCCAGGGGCAGCCACAGCTGCTCTGGGCACCCTGTGCCAGGGCCTGCCCACCCTCACAGGAACAATTCCTGCCCAATATCCCATCCATCCCTGCCCTCTGGCAGTGGGAGCCATTCCCTGTGTCCTGTCCCTCCATGCCCTGTCCCCAGTCCCTCTCCTTGTCTCCTGGAGCCCCTTTATGCCCTGGCAGGGGCTCTGAGCTCTCCCTGGAGCCTTCTCCTCTCCAGGTGTGCACCCCCAACTCTCCCAGCCTGGCTCCAGAGCAGAGGGGCTCCAGCCCTGGGAGCAGCTCCAGGGCTTCCTCTGGGCTCACTCCAGCAGGATGAAGTTGTTCCAGTGCTGAGAATTCCAGAGCTGGAAGCAGCTCTGCAGGAGGGGGTCTCACAAGGGCAGAGTAGAGGTGGAGAATCAATTCCCTGCTGGCTCTGGGTGTTCATGCACCTGAGTTCCTTCTGTTTTCCTATTAAAGCTGTATTTTCCTATTAAAGCTGTATTCTGCAGGAGCCTCTGGATGGCTTTACCTGCACCTCCATGTGGTGCAAAATTAGAAAAGCACCAGCTGGGGATCCTAGTTCATCCCCATGCTGCTGCTCTCAGCATGACCTGGTTGGTGCTCCCTGGCTCCCTCACTGTTTCCTTTGCTGCAGTTCCAGGTGGATGGCGAGTGGAGGACCTGGATTGACTACGGCCGCTTCCAGGAGCTGGTGAGGGAGCACGAGCAGAGTGGCGGCTCCAGGACCTTCACGGCAGCCGAGTACACGGCCAGGACTCCTCCCTGGGCCCTCTTTGGGGCCAAGGAACGGGGATTTGACCCCTTGGATGTGAGATTCCAGCGGAAGAACAAGGCACGGGACATCTCGGGGTGCTGAGGGCTGGGGTTCGCTGCACCCTGGCCTTCCCAGGACTCCATTTCGGGCTGACACCAATTTTGGATCCATCCACCTGGATTATCCTGATGTTTGAGAAGGGGTCAAGCCTGGATTTAACCCTTCCCTCCTGTTTTTAGGGTTTCCTAGATGAAAACATTGATAACGTTCTTTTCTCGAGATAAATCAGAAGTGGTTCAGCAGCACTGAACTGGGTGGGGGGCAGTGCTGGGGTCTCCTCCGTGGGGAATGTTTGGAGTGGGATGTGGGGCCAGAGGGTTCCTTGGACTCCTGTGCAAGGAGAGCCTGAGAGCAAAACATTCCACATCCCTAAGGAAAAACGCCAGGGGATTTCAGCCCCACCAGGTTGGATCAGGGCAGGTGGGGCCACAGCCAGACCTGGATCCAAAACCTGATCCCTGCTGGGTGCATCATTTTAGGGACTTTGTTCAGGTTCAGGTATTTTAAACACTGGTGCCATTTCCTGTCAAAACCCCATTCCCAAGAAGCCAAAACCTGGGAATGGTGTAACAGCACCCCTATGGATACCAGCTGCAGCTTCTGATACCTCTCCAAGTGTCTTCCAGCCTCATGACTTTGAGAATGAGGTTTAGATGCAGTGTTAGCCCACTCCCAGCAGCCCTAAACAACAGGTCCAGTCCTTCAGAGCCCTGGCAGGCTCCAGCTGGGTGTGCCCAGTGTCCAGCTGGGTGAGCCTGGTGCTGTTGATGGAGCACCCCTAGGATGGGGATTCCATTTCTTTTAAAAAGCAACCTCTTTTCTTAAGCTATACAAAGAGTTTCTAAAGCAGAAGGAAAATAAAAGAGTTTTGCCTAGAGTGCCTCTGCTGTGTGGCTGCTGAGCAGGGAGGGTGGGAGATGGACTGGAAGGAGATGAGAAGCACAAATGTGGCATAAGAGCTTTTCCTAAACACATGTGGGGTGGAAGGGAGAGCATTGGGTGGGTCTGTGGGTGATGCATGGTGGATGCCTTTCCTGAGTGTATTTTTAAGAAATCAGAGAATCCTGGGATGGTTTGAGCTGGAGGAACCTTAAAGCCCATCCAGTGCCACCCCTGCCATGGCAGGGACATCTTCCACTGTCCCAGGCTGCTCCAAACCCCAGTGTTCAACCTGGCCTTGGGCACTGCCAGGGATGGGCACCCCAAACCTCCCTGGGCAGCCCCTGCCAAGGCCTGAGCCCCCTTTCCATGGGGAAATTCCTCCTGGTGTCCACCCTGACCTCCCCTGGTCCAGCCTGAGGGCGTTCCCTCTCCTCCTGTCCCTGTTCCCTGGAGCACAGCCCGACCCCCCCGGCTGTCCCCTCCTGTCAGGGAGTTGTGCAGAGCCACAAGGGCCCCCCTGAGCCTCCTTTTCTCCAGGCTGAGCCCCTTCCCAGCTCCCTCAGCCTCTCCTGGGGCTCCAGACCCTTCCCAGCTCTGTTCCCTTCCCTGGACATAAGATTCCAGTTAACCCTGAACCATCAGCTGGGATCTTGGGGCCTGGTGTGTTCAGTGTCCACCAGGACCCACCACATTCACCTCGATGGATCCCAGCCCTTCAGCACCTCTTTCTCTTTCCTGAACTCCCTCCATCCTGCACCCATATCCCTGGCAGAACCCCCCCAGTCCATCCCAGTTCCCTGCTGGTCCCTGGCAGCTGCAGGAGTTGCTTTGGGAGAGGAGCCCCCAGTGCTGGATCCTGGGGCTGCCATGGGATCAGCTCGTGCTGTAAGAACTCCCAGAACTCCCTGACAGTGCCTTCCCTTGGGAATCCTTGGGGATCTAAAGAAAAGTGTGTTTGCCCTGGCCTTGGCATTTCTTGTGCAGCCCCTCAGGACACCCAGTCCCTGCTGTCCCTGGCACACTGAGTCCCATCCCACAGAGCTCAGCCAGAAGGACTCGCTGGAGCTGAGACCTCTCCTGATCCTCCCTGTGCCCTCCCTGTGATCCCATGTTCCCTCCATCCATCTCCTCATCCTCCCTGTGTCCTCACACCTTCTTTATTCTCCATGTGTCCTCCCATTCCCTCCATCCTCTCCATGTCCCCACACTCCCCCATCCTCCCCCACACCCTCCTTATGTCCCCCATTCCCTCCATCCTCTCCCTGCTCCTCCCCACTGCTCCCACCTGTGGGCAGTGCAGGGACAGTGTGGGTGACACGGGGACAGTGCCACGGTGTTCCCATGGGAATTGGCACCTGCCATCTCGGGGACAGTGCCACGGTGTTCCCATGGGAATTGGCACCTGCCATCTCCTCAAATGGAGCTTTCCCCTGCCCTGTGGAACCAGGACACATCTGGGCCACATCTGGAAGCTGCTCCCACAGTGGCTGGGACAGAGTTTGCTTCTGCAATTCCACTGGAATTGCCTCGTGCTCAGAGTGAATCTCCCAGCACACAAATCCATCTAGGCTGTGCTCACACCCAGCCCTCCCAGGGAACAAGAGAACACAAGTCGGGCTGTTTGGGGACACATGGAACTGGACGTGGCTGGCACAGCTGGAGCTCTGGGATCCTGCTCTGCCCGTGCTGGGAGCAGGGATTTGCTGCCCCTCCTGCCTCCCCTGGAGCTGCTCCTGGTGAAGCTGAAATGGGCTGGCACCCACCGGCCACTCCAGGGGGCTGCAGGGTTGGGATTGTGTTGGAGTCTGAAAAACAGAGTTCTTTCTGAGTTCCTCAGAGTGCAGGAATTGAATGAAAACCTTTGGATGGATTGAAGGATATTAAGCCATTCATACATGAAATAGAGGTGTAAGTTTATGTTTCAAGTAAGTAAGTTTAAGTAAGCAAGAATATGTTTTAAGTGCCTTAAAAAGCCCTAGACATCAGTGTAGAAAACAAGTCTCAAAAATAAGTCTCACTGAGAGCTCCAGAACATAGTTTTAGACATAATAAAAATATAGTAAGAATAGTGCTTACATTTTTCAGATAAAACAGATAGGCCATATATGCAGATTATACATAAATTTTGTATTACAAAACTAGAATTCTAATAGGTTTAGAAGAAATGCCTCAGATTTGTGTTTTTAGCTTGGGTAATTTGTAAATAAGAATCTGTGTATTGGAGCGAGAGCTCTCTCTCTTCTTCCACCACCACCACCATCATCACTACCACCACATGAAGAAGAAGAAGAGGAATAAAAAGAAGAAAAGAACAAAAGAAGAAAAGACCAAGGAGCACCTGCCTCTCAAGGCTGTGTACCAGGCCACAGCCTCTGCTCAGGACTCTGTACCAGGCTGAAACTTCTGTGTCTGGGGGCCTTGCACCAGGAGCTGCTCCTACTCCTATGACACTTCTATTACTTCTCTACTTCGATTTTACTTCTATTTGGGACTCTATGCCAAAAGCTTTTAGCGTGGACTTGAACACTTGGGACTCTTCGCCTTTTGAGACTGATGTGCCTTTACAATAAACAACTTTATGGCAACTCACAACTGCTCAGCTCTTCTGAAGAGAACAACAATCCCAACAGGATTGCACAGGGAGGCTCTAAGGGAAGGGGATGCACTCCAGGAAAGAGTGAGCTCAGTTCAGGGAGGGTTTCTGTCCTGCCAAAGGCAGATCCTGGTCAGGGAGAGCCTCTCCAGTGTCACATTCAGAACCAGCCCGCGCTCTTGTGCTGCCCTCGGTATATTTGACTCAATAACTGTCATTCCAACACCTTTTCCATAGGTTTTGGTCTGGACACAGCCCATGGTACTGTGGGGGTGCAGGGGGTTCCCCATCCTCCCTCCTGCTCCCAGCACTGCCCAAGGAGCTGCCCCCCTCTGGTTCGGGGGTTTTGCCCAAAGCCAAGGCACAGAGCGTGTCCTGGAGCTTGTCCTGGCTGTCACCTCCAGCAAAGGGGGGCCTGGTGCCTCCAAACCCAGCCTGGAGACCCGGGAAATTCCATCCTGAGGGTCAAAATGGGCAAAAGTCATTTTAACCCCTTGAAGCCAAGGAGAATTTGAGGACCTCTGTGCCTGGTCCAATTCCCCCTTCCCTGGCACAGCCTGGATCCCTCCTGGCTGCTCCATGGGCTCTTCCCAGCTGTGCTCCTGCTGCATCCTGACTCAGGGGCTGAGTCACCCGGGATGGGGGCTGTGTTTCAATTTTCAATGAGGATAAATATATTTGTTTCCAAAAAACCTCCAGCAGGAAAACATTCCCTCAAGCAGAGCATTGTCATCCATCAGCTTCGGCTTCATCTGGCTCCACTCCTAAATCATTTATGATGTTGGAGCTGCTGCTGTGCCCTGAGGGGACAGGAAGAAGGGATGGGAATTAATTGAAGGAAGGGCATCGTCCTCATTTTGTCACCTGCAAACCGAGGCAGAGGGAGGGACCCAACCCAGCCAGGACATTTCTGCTCCTTCACTGTGGGGAAGGGGAGGCAATAAAGCTCCGGGAAGTCTTTGTAAGGAAGCCCTGGCCCTGCTGGAGCTGAGCTGTCCCAGAGGTGGGAGCTCAGCAGATCCCCCCCCTCCCGGGTCTCCTCCCTGCCCCAGCCAAGCAGTCCGAGAGGGACTGGAGGTGGCTGGAGCTGCTGAGTTCCAGCAGTGACATTTGGGAGGAGGGACCCACCCCAGGCACCAGCCCAGCTCCTTCTGCCAGGCCAGATCTTCACCCCAAAACCCGGGAGCAGCAGCACAATGGAAGCCAACAAGGCTGGAGGTGATTCCAGCCCGTGGAGTGCAGGGATCTGTGGCTGTCACCAGGCAGTGTCCCATCCCATCCCATCCCATCCCATCCCATCCCATCCCATCCCATCCCATCCC